GCACCGAGTTCGGCCCCGCAGATGGGTACGTGTTTGTCCTCGCGTGGGAAGGTGTCTTGGGTACAACTGGTGCGCGCCAGGGCGTACGCAGCGATGCAGCGAAATCATATCGCGCTGCAAGGGAGCCTTCCGATCTAAAGTTTGGGGTCGCATCTCGCCGCGGAGGACTCGGTGTGGGTGAGGGTGACTGCCATCGACGACGCGAGTGCTGAGCAAGAATGCCGCCAATTGTCTCTGATGGTCCATGCTTGACTACCTGCTCAAGCTTGCGCCGCAGATCCGCGATATCATCGGCCTGGGAAGACACCTCGCGAATCTCAACTACAGCCTCCTTGACAACCTCCTTGTTGGCCTTCGGTGCCTTCTCGCGCACGACTCGCACTTGGTAGTTTCGACCGCTGTTGTTGTCCCAGATTTCACGCCCGGCAACTGAATATCGGATGGCAAGATACAAGGTTTTCTCCTCCGCCCGGGAAAGAACGTCTGCAAGCTTGATTGCAAACATAAACCGGTCAAAGATGCTGTCCGGGACGGACTCCTTATAGCGGGCTGTGACTTCCGATGTTGTCTGCCACTTGTCGAGCGTGAAGCGCACCGCAATCCATTTTTCGAATGCGAGATTGCGCACGCGAACGATACCTTCAATCGTGGTCCCAACCAACTCGATGTTCTCGATAGCAACATCACGCGTATCTTCGGCCAAGGGTGGGGCTATTGGCACGTCGATACGATGCATGACGAGTGGACGCTCTTTAAGATCGTCATCGCGGGCATAAATAAACGGGGGAAACTCCGAGTCGGTCCCACTGGTATCCGTTGGGCTTCCATCGCGCGAGACTGCGAGAGGCTTCTGTTCGGCAAGGAAGAGCTTCACATGCTCGAGCTGGGAATCGAAGCGGACACCCTTGTGGCCCGGCGTTGTCGGTGCACTTCTGGAGCTCAAGCTGGCCGGATCGGTGATGACAGTTAGGGAGCCCCGGGTAGGCGTGCGCTTCGCTTTGAGTGACGACTTGAGGGGCTCTCCCGACTTTTTCCTGGGGAATAGTGGCAGAGGCTCACTTCGTGCGACGGCAGCAGCGGCAAGAGCATGGACATGTGATTCAGATAAGTTGCGTGTCAAGATGACAGCTGCACTCTTTCGGAGTGCAGAAGGCGTGTCATCGTTACTATCCGCCTTGGCAGGTGTGGGAGTCGACTGTTCTGGTGGACGGATGGCAGGAACGCGCTGGCCGCGGAATCGCCGTGGAGGAATGGGCTGATTGACAGGTTCTGCCGGTGATGAAGGGGCCAAAGGGAACGAGACTGTTGAGCTCTGTCTTGCCTTGGTGTCGCTGGGCGGGGTTGGAGGGTGAACGTGAACTGGAGCAGAAGTGCAGTCGGAGAAGGGTATCGTGGGCGGACTAGCATGAGCAAAAAGCATCCCAGAAGTTGGCGGGTCGGTAAGGGGTGCGACAACGGGGCAAACGCGGCGGGAACTGGGGGCTGACGTGTGTCGCCTTGGGATCAAAGGGAGAGGCGCTGTCGAGAAGTTGCGCGAGTAGTGGATGTCTCGGGAGGGAGGGGTTGCCATGATTGTGGAGGCCATTGCAGAGGAGGGGGATTGGACGTGTAAAGAGGGGCTTGGTCGTTGGGGGTTCGTATATGAATGCTGACCCTAAAACGGTGGGAAAAAGGAACACAAAGTTGAATTTCAAAGAGGGACAGAAGTCCAATGATGATGCGCACCTTCCCCTACTCAGTTTGGAAGTCGGGGTCCTGACGGAAAGAGAATGAGGCTTGCGCAGGCAAACGGGTTGGGGAAAATAGATATCCAAGGCCGGAAACGGCCGATTCCCTGATCGATGAAGGTGCGAAGCCACGCAAGAGTGGCGTATACTTCCTTGATTGACGACCAAAAGAAGTTGATAACGACTATCGCCAAGTGGCAGGTCTTACGAAAGCCAGGTGGCTGACTCTCCGTGAGTGAGCTGGCACGACGCTGTCGGTCGAAGCGAAGTGGGGTCGAGGAGGTTAAATGGTCGGGGTCAAGAGAAAAAACCTCGGGAGAAGACTGAGAATAAAATTGGAAACGGGCAACGAGGCTTGATATAGACTTGATTGATGCTTGAGTGACGGCGTGGCACGAGACGTTGGACAAAGGTCAAAAAAGCCCGAGGCAAATCTGGTTCAATAGCAATTGTCAGCCCTCCGCAGGATCTACGACTGTGGTCCTTCACAGACACACGGAAGAAAGGATAGAGAATATGAGGAAAGTACCAGGAATACTACAATGAAGAGATAAGGGAGGAGAGGACGAAAAGAGAGGAGATTCAAGTTGGACCTGAGTGGAGTGGTTGAAATTGAGATCAACTCACTGTTGGACCGATGGTTCGAGTGGGGGCGGAGAGATCTGGTCGAAAACAGCCTACCAGTGAGTTGGAGGCCCCGACACTGAGTACAAATGTTCTCGGTGGTGGTCAACGTCGCAGCGCACTGCCAGCGAGCGGGCGAATTTGAACGAAACGAAAATACAACGGAAAATAAAATAAAAATTGATCCGGGGAGAAAGCTGCTGACTAACAATCTGGTGGCAAACTGTTATCTTATCTCAGCCGGCCAGGGCACTGGCGATATCCCCATCAGAATTCCTTTCCATGCTGCCTCCACGCGCGAACCCAATCCTTATCACAGGTCAAGATGTTGTTGTGTGCAGCGGCCGTGTGTATCCTTCCCACCAGCCTTCGTTACCATCTTCCACGCACCTTGTCGACCCGTTTTGCGACACCATTGCCACCTTCATTGTCTTCCTTTCGGAATTCTTTTCAAATGAATGTCTATTGACAGTACCGTTGTTTGACTTATCAAGGTTCATGCATGTTCATGGCCCCCGCGCTTCTTCCTCTGCATCCCACACGACATTTCAATATCACCTTTGGCCGTTCAATATCATGCGCTTTCCAAGCGGGACTTCGTTTAGTACAGAAGCACGGTCGTCTATCTCCGCTGATTGCCCGTTCAGAATAACCCCATTGCCTTGCCGCTACTTATTTGTTTTTCCGCTGAAGCGCAAAAACAGGAATGCAGTCTCTGCATTCTCCCCTGAGATTTCAGCCACCATACAAGGCTAGCATGGCGCGTGCAGAATCAGGAACATCTATGGGCACGGCAAGAATGGGTGGACTGGCGCCCCCGTGAAAAGGTTTGTCTCCGCACTCTCAGGCTAATTCTAATCCCTCGGCCCAATTCGCGAATCCGAATAGAACCGGTATCATTATCGACCCATGACAATGTCCGTTCTTTGCAACACCCCCACCTGGCTTTTCGACCCACGCAAGGCTTTGTTCCAGGCGGGCTTCGACGCATCAGTCGGACCAGAGAAAGAACGCTACAGTAGATGATAGTGGGACAAACTCACGATTCCACTATCAATTTGACTTTGTGCTTCTTCATCAAATTGGCATTGTGCCTCGTGCCACCGAATCGAGCCCAGACCGCGTGTGCGCCACTTGGTCCTGGTATCCTCCAGCTCATTCTTGCACGTTCGATTGTGCCCACCCGCCCCAAACCCGGACTCCAAGGTATGGACCACCTGAACGATCATCGTCCTCCTCCGCCCGATTTAAGTCAAACATCGGGACCCAAGCAAAGAAACAAGTCAAATCGACCCTATAGTGCGGGTGATGGGCGTTCCTCGTGGGTCTCCCGGAAGCGAATGATAACCCAATATAGCACATTTTGGCGCTCCACCGCCTGACGGCTGTGTAATCCTCCCTGAAGTCAGCGTCAATTCTGTGCCGCGTGCCACACCCCTTATCTCGCTCCCTCCACCACCCCCTCCCAATACTCCGAAATGACTCTTACCGTGTACTGTACAAAGCACAAAATTCCAGCTATCTCATCATATGAACTTGCTTTCTCTTCGGGCCTTGCACTGGATTACTATTCGAGGCTGTTGGAGCATGATGACGTGTGATCATCGATCATGGCACCACCCCGCGCTCGACACAATTCTTTAGAAACCGGCAAATGCAACGAGGCGCACCCGTACCAGGCTGTACAGTACCTCCACTGGACCTGGGTGCACTGTATAACGAAGGCCCCCGACGTCGTTTCCACATGAGCCTCGAATTTCAACTAATATTTTTCGCATTATACGTCACCGTGACAGCCTCGAGCTTATTCGGCACGTTTCGCCCCTGGCGCCGTTGAGCAACGAGTGCCTCGATGACGAAGATGATGGCCCAGAACGTGCGGCGGCGGGAGAAACCAATCCACCTTGTGAAATTCGGGCACATTCTCGAGCATGTGCCCTACTTTTTGATCGTGCTGGTGGGCGCCACGGGTCTCGTGCGTGCGTCACGGTGCGTGGGCTGTGTTGTATGGGCACACAACCACCTCTTTTCCTCCTTTTCAGATTTAGAGAAAACATGACGCCCCTACAGTACATCTTGAACGGCTGAGATGTCATCCCACGGGGCCTTCAGATTCCAGAACCACAGGCAACGGACTGTACCTCGTCAGTCACTGGCACTCCAACTGGATCTCTAACCCTGCCAGCCAAACTCCTTCATTGGTCACCTCATCCATTGAAGAATGGAGCCATGTCTGGGATGCATCCGACCTGGTCGCTGCATACCAATAAACGATGACCGGTGATCGCATTACCCCGCACGCACATGCTGTAGCCGTGAGCGCTGAGCAACCAATGCGGAGCGCGCATTATGTATTGCGGGATGGTGTCACTTCGCTTATCCGAGACGAAATCTTTCGTCATTGAGGTTTCCAGTTGTGGACGGACGCTCTGAGACGTCCCATCTCTTGCAAAATGCAAAATTTGAAGAAAAGAAAATTGTCATTGCCATCTTTGCTATCTCCACAATAGCGGCCGTTTTCCGTCTTTGACACTCCCTTGTGGATCGGTTGCGGAAGACAGCCTCGACATGAACGCATGCATACATACGTTTGCAGTTCTGGTTTTACTGCCTGTAATCATTTTTGCTTGGTTTGGAGCAATGTTTGAAGGTTCGATGGCGTAGTTGGTTATCGCATCTGTCTAACACACAGAAGGCCCCCGGTTCGAGCCCGGGTCGAACCATTTTTATATCGTTCAAGTACGCGCGGGCCGTACAGCACATGTCAAACGTGCGTGACCACCTGTGTTTGTTTTTCTTTGACCGAAAAATGAGCGCGCTCTTTTACGCGCTCATGTTGCGCTCTCGGGTAAGTTAGTTTGGTCAAAAGTTTGGGTGGTCGTTCCGAGAATCCGAGTATCACAAGTGAACGGTTGTGCCATCTGACCTTGTCGAAAAAAAAAATGATCTACTTGTCCGACCATCCGAGGACCCATACCCGGCGTGGCTATGACGAGCGGAACCGGGTGACTCACGAAAGCCGTGGTCTGCTGACGGGGGGATGACGGGGGGAGACCGCACGAGGTCCCGTGGCACATCCTAGTACCCCATACCCCGTATCTCTCGCCATTTGCTCCGAAAAGTCTGAAATTAGCCATACATGAATGGGGCTACGCTATCATTAGCTGTACCCAACGTGTCAAACCCCGCAAAAGATGATCTTCGGCCGCATTCTCCCGGGAAACCCGTCAACGCGCGCCAACGAGTGCTGTTGCGGAATTAGGGCTAGTTCAGAAAACCTATTAATAATAAAGAGGCCCAAGTGATTCCGAGTCAAAAAACTTACATTAAGGAGACACAACACAGATGTCCTGATTATTATTGTGCTGTACCAGGCTGGCGCGGCAGCATGATGGGCCCTCCAGCTTCCGCATCCGCTGTTGAACTCAAGATGTGTGTCGGATTTTTGACATTCTGAACAAAAAGCATCGAATTGACGTTATCGAATCGAATCTAATCTGGGTAGGGTACGTAAAAGGACCCCACCGGTATCGTACACCGCGCTTTCCTACAGTTCAGTAGAAGGTATCTGTGTCGTTCGACCTTTTTTTATCCTGGTGGCCGCTGGCAAGCTGCATCAGGGCCCCAAATCTGTGCTGACATAATCTTCCACATTTGAGTTCAGTTGGAGTGTGGTCTGGTGACTCATTGACTCGGGAATAGGGGGTGTGTCCCAGTCCGTCGTCCAAAGTTGCAAGATGAACAAGAGAAGCGTGATATCTTCCCTTTTGTCGGCGTCAGAACTGTCATCGTTCGGGTAGGGTCGGACGAGTCGGGACGACTGCAGATCTCAGCTCGGACCGAGTCTAATGAAGCCAGACTCGGATGGCGGAAGACAACCAGACAGGAAAAACGTTGTGCATCGGCCAATGGGGTATACTATCATTGCTCATAGATACATAAGCAAAACAAACACACAGAGCACGCAGGCCGGCACCGCCGCGAGACAAAAGAGGAGAGCGGAGAAAGAGAAGAGTAGAATGGGAGTAGAAGTGGTGCCAACAACTTTTAACTAATGCTACAAATGAAGGTGAGAGTTTTTGGGATGTATGACTTTGAGGGGGGATGAACAGCAAGACACAAAAGAATCGAAACACGGGGGGAGAAACCAAAAGGAAAACCGAAGGTGCCGGATAGGATTAGATAATGAAGAGGTTGAAGGGGGAAGGTGCACGAAGTGGTGATGGAGAACATAGCTATCATGACAGGTGATCACAACGCATGGATGTATTCGTCAAGGCCAACTTGCGAGCTGGCCATATCGTATCCCGCCGCCGGAACCGGGACGGCCTCCGCAAAATTAGCGGAAAGGCCCGGAGCAGGACCGCCGAACATAGCCGCCGCTTCGTTCGCGGCGGCGGCGGATCCGGCGTAGCCAGTGCCCCAAAGTGTGGCGGGGATTTCGTGAAGTGCCGACGACGACGACGTGGTGGTCATCGTGTGCTGGGGAGCGAAGGGTATAGGAAGGGGGGTCGGACCGAAAGATCCGACCGCACCAGTATCTGGAGATCTGGGCAGCGCTGCACCCGCATCTGGCGCAATAACCAGGGATGGCTCGGTGGTGATGGAACAACTAGCCCGGTCAGCGCATGATGGGGGGGTCATAAACTCCAGCGAAGTGGGGTATACATCGCCGTCGGCAAACGTGAATTGTTCATATCGATCGGAACTCGAGTTGGTGGTGTAGGCGTAAGCCCCTGATGTGGCACCGATGGGCGCCGAGGAATTCTGATGGGAGTACATGTAAGTAGGGAATGGAGAATGGTGTGCGGCGGAGACGTACTTGGGCACCGCCGACGCTCATACCGCATTCGAAAGCTTCATTCAAGGGTGATTCAGGAAGCGTCAGCATCTGGAATCCGGAAGGCAGCCCGTGGAGCGCCGGCGAGGTAGGCAAGACCGGTGTGTACAGGGGCGAATCGTCCATCTCGCTACTCGAAAACCTGTCAAAGTCGAAGACAGTTGGACCTGGACTGGACATGCATGAGATCGGAACGGGTGTCCTAGCCTTAGTAGGGATGACAACAGCCTCCTGAACAGCCACCGGCTGTGGCATCGAGGCAGAACGACGTCTTCCGGTCATAACTGTGGTCGATGACACTGGGACAGGAGCGGGCTCCGGATGATGGGCTTTGTGTTCGTGGATGTCACCGTCTCGTGGAACAGAAGAAACAGCACGCTCGCTACGCATGATGAGCGAAGCGACCTGCGCGCTACGATCGGTGCGCCGGCAGGTGGACGAACGGCAGCGCGCTGCTACGCCAGGAGGAGTACGACGCACGGGCTTAAAACGATAGTCAGGGTTCTGGAGAGCGTGTGCGGCCTTTTCCTGCTCAGCTAGGGTCTTGTACTGCTCGCGGTCCGCTGCGGATAAACACCGCCACTCTTCCGCGGCGCGCTTCGACAGGGTCTTGTCGCTGCGGTTGGACCTGTCAGAGGAATCATTGGAATCGCGCGCATGCTTGCGAGAGTATTCGCAGCGGAATATGATGAAGGCGTTCCGGGGGCGCGGAACCCAGTCAGGGTCGCGCTGACGATTCCGAATGGCGCGACGGTCTGAGGAGGAGAGGGGTGAGGGGGCAGAAGAGGGGTCCGTATGAGAGCCGTCCGAGTCGGGGGAAGCAGGGGCATGGTCGTAGGATGAGAGATGGAGAGAATGGGAATCATTTGAAGATGTACGACTGAGCGTAGGAGACATGAGGTCGTCGGGTACTGTGATTGGGTATGGGGAGTCATTGATGTCTACGTCATCATCGTCGCCGTAAGAGGGCACCCAGCCAGATACGAACCCCTCTGTGTGCGACATGTGTGGTCGTTACGAGTAATAAATAGACGTTGGGATTTGGCACAGAGCCAGTGGGGACGCAGGTAGGGGTAATATGGCGTAGGAGAGGCGGAATGAACGAAAGGATACGTGGGTTGCTGGAGAGGATTAAATAGGCGGTGAAAGCGAAAGAGGGTTGGTTGTGTCCGATCAAGATCCGGCTCGGACTTTTCCCTTTCTTGATCGCCACTCGGTCACTCCTAACCTCTCTCCGAGCTCGTGATCGGCCAGGGAACCCCATGACGCACTGTCCATTCCACAAACCAGCCCAGCTGTCAACGCACTTGTGGACAAAAGTTTCCCTCCTCATGGGCCGCCCACAAAATTGGGCCATCCCAGGTAACCCCAAAATGCCCGTCGTCTCACGTCGCGGACCCTGCCTTTCAGGACAGTGTGGTACGAGTGGCCGACTTGGGTGGCGGTCTGGAACGTCTCACATTTCACGATCCTTCCAGTCCTCCGCCGACTCCGCCCCCTTTAATCACTTTTGGCACTGAACACCCCTCCGTAGCCTCGCGGCGACCCAAGGCCGACGGCATCACAAAATGTACAGGGGACCTACGGGTCCGTGACACGGAATTCCAGAATGCGCTAGTGGATTATTTATTTGTGAGCTAATTATATCCTTAAAGTACACTAATACTACCATCCATGGGAACGGAGCGCTGAGCAGTGGCATCGCCTCATACAGAACAGCCCAAAATAATGAACCGTAACCTAACATACTTCCACGGTCTGGCATTTCAGCGCTTCAAAACTGATGGTAATGTACCTGCTTTTGGGGGCGCAATCGTCTCATAAGCGCGTCAGGCGCGCGAGGACTCCAGCAGGTCTTGCGCCGCCTGTTTCGACGTTTGTCGCTAGATGCTCTATGTCTCCTACAGTATCGAAGGCCAATTTTTAGTTTATAATTTACAGAGGTGCACGAGTCCGTCACGGTCGAGCAAACTTTTTGGTATTGGCTACTCGCCAGGCACGAGTCGATTTCGTGTGGCGCGAACGCCGTGGATACGCCGGGCGGTGATCTGAAAACCCCATGATACCGTATCCCTATCCCATACAGAGATCACGGAAGTAAAGATAACGACACTAATCTACTTTTTTTTTCATCGGTGGTGCAGTGGGTCCGCAGTCGGTCAGTGGTGGGTCGCGTCTCGAGAACGTAAAAGGGAAGTCGGGCAGTTTGCCTGCCGTGCCGATTTCAGCGAGTACAGTGGCAGACTGGCCTGCTTTCCGCCCTAGATTGAATGCCAGGGCCAGGCTGAGGCCTTCAGGGCCATTTTTTACTAAGTTACTGGCTCACTTCGGAAGCTGAACCAAGTTAATTTTTAGTTCCACTGTGTCAGTCTGCAGTACACTGTGCATAAAATCATTCACGCACCAGTCTCCCAACAGAGCCTCAGGATATAGTACGTCATTCGAGTTGCAGGTAAAGGAGGGCGACCTTCTGGTAATCTTAGTGTAGTATTCCATCTCGAGAAAGACGGTGATCAGTTGGTGACTTCAGGAAGCAACACGTTCCTGAACGTGTCTCATTGTCCAATCGGATAGTTTGAGACAGCTGTCTCAACTACTGTACCTCTTTTACATAACCAAAGAGAACGCGTCAATTGTTCACAATCTTCGGTGGAGATGCTCACGCGAGGCTGATGCAAGCGCTCATTATTCTCGTAACTTATACGAGTAACGTTCAGTTATTACGCTTTGGGTACTAGAGAACCGGCTACTTGATGCACACGTTGATGCCACGACAGCCGTGAGGATATTTACGAGTACAGCACTATATCTGTGTTTAACGAGACGCGAATTTTGGAAGGGGGCTAATAAGTGGGCGTGGACGCACTGTATAGTACGACGGAG